GGGGCTCCCAAATGCAAAAGCATTTGGGCAGCACATAGCGTCAACGCCAGATGGCTTGTCTTCCAACCTGGCTGCTGGGGCATGGCTACCTGCACACTCGATCAAGGCTGGTTCCTGGGCTTGGCCAAAAAGCTGTGAAGTCCCAGTCACGCAGTCAGCAATGTCCGCATGATGCATTCATTCATGACAAACATTCAATCAATTGTTACGATTGCTGGCAAGAACTACCTTTGTTTTCCTGACACCCCTTCACACCTGTATGTGCACTACATCCATCCGCTACGTGTTCAAATTGTCCAAAACATTGATCCCATGGATCAGGAAACCCACATGGGAGGGGGGTGTCCTTGCAATCAAACAAAGCCAGAAACTACAACGTTCAATTGAAATTCAATCTAGTCGGAATTATCCCCCCACCCAGACTGCTCATGTCACTAGACATGGTCCACAAAAGGTGGCTCAGACTCAGATCTCATAGCTTCAGCCACTTAGCGATGCGGCGAGCAAAATCCCACCTTAACCAAGTGATGTTGGTCGCATGTTTGTTTTAGCTTAGTTCTATTTGGACTGAGACAGGTACGCTGTAAAGATGCCACCGTTCACTTTCCACGTGACTGTGACCCCTCCGTTGGAATTCACCTGGCGACCAGGCCGCACTCTCTCTCTCTCGCTCACCAAAAAGGCACATACGGTTCGGGAACTCGCTTCGGTGCTCCTGGAAAGACTTGTTGAACTGCGTGTTGATAGCTCCCAGAATGGTGTCATCGGCGTGGGACACATAGAAGGCACCAGTCAGCCTGAGCCGAGTGTCACTGAGTGTCGAAACATGTTGATCAACGTGCGCAAACATAACAATTAGTTTCCGGCAGTGTTTGGATTGGTGAAGGGTCATCCCCTCCGACTTCTAGCAGTTCTTCAGGTGGGTCAATCGTCCAAGACCTAGAAGGCTGATTGAATCGATTGAATAGAGCGGCATGCATGACTAGGTGTTCGAAAAAAAAAAAAACATCTGACACGGTTTAAGAAGTTGGCATGACTGTGTTCAGCTTGTTCTGGTCCGGTACAATGCGGAACATGTTGTTGCCCCTGGACATGAGTAAGATTGCTTCCTGCAGGTTCTTTCCACGAAGTTCCTGCCAGTGCACACAAAGAGGCCGGGCAATCCGAAAAAAGTGAGAAGCAGTCCTCGCGGTACTGCCTCCGCTTCGCGCTTGCTTCCGAGGGTTCCTCGATTGAACAAAATGATTAACATTTATAATGTGTTTCTTACTGCGCGCACAAACATAACACATAATGGATCGCTTGATATGTTTTGGTGTGCCTTCTTCTCTGCTTTTCGTTTTTTCTTTCCACCTTCTTCTTCTTCTTTTTTTTCTTCTTTGTCTTCTGATGCACCCGTCTTTTCTTTCTCTGCCTCAGGTGTTGCTTCCTCCTCAGCTTCTTGAGACTTGTCTTTATTTTTTTCTTCCACATCCTTCTTTGGAATCTTCTTGGCACGGGCTGGTCCACTGGACTGTTTTCTCTTGCGTGATTTTGTCTTTTTAGCACCTTCATCATCATCCCGCACATCCTCCTTCAATTCTGCATCCACAGCCTCGAGTGCTTCAGCGCCAGGACTTACCTCAGGCTTTTCTTCTTCAGTTTCCTTTGCATCCTTTGTCTCAGAGCACTTCTCTTCAAGACCCTTGCCTCTTCCTTTCCCTCGTCCTCGTCCTCGTCCTCTGCCTCTTCCTTTTGGTTTCGCAGCCTCCTTTGCTTCTGCTTTCTTTTTTCGCAATTGTTCTCGAAGATCTTTTTGCGCCTGACAAGTTGCCATACATGTTCATCCAAGACCTTATTTCAATTACAAAAACTCATCTTCCACCCCACCTCCATAAGAATTTGGATAGGATCCTCCGGGTCAGTGATCTTCTGGTCAGGAAGGTCCGGGATCTTCTCCAAAAATGGCCTTGTGTCCTGTGAGTCAAGTTGCTTTGCTAAACCAGCGAACAGTTATACAAAAGATCGCTCCTGAAATGTTCCCTTTTCTTTGAGCTGTGTTTCTTCTTCTTCTCCTGCGTCAAAGTCTTCCCCTTCTTTGTTGCCGGCTTCATCTTCCAGAACATTCTCCGTCTGCATGTCTTTTGCATTTCTTTTCAGTTTCTCATCATATGCCTTCAGCCTTTCCTGGATCTTCATCGTCTCCCTTTTCTTGATAGCAAGTTCCTTCATGAGAGCAAACCTTTCTGCCATCAGATCGCCTTGTTGTTTCCTGTGCGCAGACTTTTCACTCTCTGTCATCCCCTTCTCCGCTTCCTTTCTTTCTGCTTCATACTCTTCGAGGAGATTTTTGGCGTCTGCCCGTTCCTTCTTAATACGTTCTTCTTCGTGAGCCTGTGCAGCCTCCTCGATCCTTTTGTTGAATTTGTCTTGTATTTGTTTGATCCTTGCGGCTTCTGGCTCTCGGAATCGTACTCCGAACAGCTCAATCTCCTTTTCATTGTCATTCATGTTTTGGGATTCTTGCCCGCTCTGGTCGTGAGGCCCTTTTGCTGCTTGTGTTCTTTCTTTTTCTTTTTGATCAGCCGCCTTGCTCAGCTCATGCTCCACCTCCTGTGCAAGCTTTGCCTCTACAAGCTCTCGGATTTCGTTAACATGTTGTCCTTGTCTTTGAGCTATTTCGATCGCCACCTTCTCCACTTTCTCGGCCTCCTCTGCCCGCTTTGCTCTGATCTGTTTGGCTTCGTCCTCCTTCTGAGCAACTAGTTCTTGTAACTTGTTTGCTTCTGTCTCTATCTCCTCAGCTAGCCTCTCCGTATCCTCTATTTTTTTGGCGCTCTCGGCAATGCTCAATTGGATAGCTTCGCACTCGGCCTGCAAAGTCGATAGTTCATGTGTCTCTTCGGGTTCATTTTGATCCACCACAGTCCCAGTTGGGCATGACTCCGGAGCCACCTCACAGTCATCCTCAAAGCATTCTTCTTCCTCTTCTTCTTCCACTACAAATTCTTCATCCTCTGCTGCACTTTCTTGCACTTCTTTCGTTGTGTCATTTCCTTCTTCAGTCTTTTCTTGGCCTTCTTCTTTCTTTGCTTCTCCTTCTTTGTTCCTTTCCTTTTCTTCTTCTTTGGGTACCTCAGATTGATAAACAAAAAGACCACTGGACAATTCGGATAAGAAAAACACACATTGGACAGTGAGCCTTCTTCAAAGGCTTCCGGATAGACCGTGTGCGTCTCGAAACTCCAGAGTCCTGCGATTAGAAAATGACCAAACTTAATTCTGTGTGTTTTTTGTTATCCAATCCTCGAAGATAAGGGTGATCAGTTGCTTCAGTGATTGCATGTTGCAATCTTTGGACCTGACTTGAGAAAACAAAACATTTTGTTGGAAGACAACTCCAACGATAGCCTTGCTGTTTTTGTTCTTGACCACCGTGCTAGTAGTTTCCCTGCAAGAACACGGTGTAGATTGCCTTCGGTGGTTGCCCATTCCTGAAATAAGCAAGATCTACAGGTGGAATCTGTGCAATAAGATATAAAACAAAATATTAAATATCCTCTAAATCCTTGGTCTCAGCCAAGTAGTGCGCACGGCCAATCGCTACCAAGGCCACCTGAGAAAATACGTCGTACTGTGTTCAACACATAAAACTATATACGTACCAGTTATTCCCACCTTGACTTCTTTTTCAGTTGGAGCGTTGAGAGCAAATGATGGCAACCATTCCATCATGAATGCAGTGTTCCGGTCGCACTGCATCTGCCACACCGAGCAAATCTAGGCATCTAAGATTTTCTGTATGTTTTTTTGAATACGCTATGAAGCAACAAGTGAAGCAACAAAAATCACACACCAAACATGTCGGTTTTGCCATCTCCTCATTCAACCCTTTCTTGGAGTGGACATCCAGGAACGAAAACGTCTCTGGAATCTGGCGAGTTGAAGTGCATTGATTGTTTTGATGACCAGTGCTTAGCAACACAAAATTTGCAGGCATGACCTTTCCATCTTCAATGCACTTGTCAAACCTTGTGCGGGACCAACCATTTTGCTTGGCTAGGGCCCAGAACCGTTCACTGCGGAAATCATTGGTAAGCTGATCCTCGTAGAAAGCCTGACAGGAAGACACCCTATTCAACGAGAAACACATACACACCGGGTTGCAGTGCACAATCCCATCCACAACGGCCTTCAACAGCTGGACTCTTTGCTCGTCAGGTTTGGATGCCGGCATTGCGAACTCCGGAATCCAGCGGCAAAAACAGAACGATGCTGCCGGACAGTGTGAAGTTTTCACCCTAATGTTCAACATGTTCTTAAATTCTTAAATGAGTTAAATGTTGTACCCGGCATATGGAGTCTGAGCTGAAGCCATGCAAAAAGATATGCAATGGCAAAGAAGCCACCAAACACATTCACCAGAGTTGAAGACTTCAAACACACGAGTGAAGATAGGGGGTATGGCATGGTATGGCACCTTCCTCTGAGTCGCATCGCTGGAGTTCTCGCTTCCCTGGGTTCAGCTGTGAGAGGACCGTGGTGCCACTCACTGGATGTCACTGGGTTCCTGACTTTTCTGAATAGCCTTCTTCATATGCCCAATCTCCAGCTCCAAGCCATGGCCACCAGTGAGTGGAACACAAAATAAATAAACACATGTAAAAGTCATGAACTCAACATCAATGATCCTCGAAATGCTGAAGTGTTGATCTGTGGATCCTTTGAAACACCCACGACGAAGTTAAACTTAGTCTCACGCTCATGACGAAGTTAAACTTAGTCTCACGCTCCCACTGGCTGCGCCGAAGTTAAACTTGGCGCTTGATCCCCAGGGTATATATATAATTTGCTCCCTGCCACACACACACATAGACACACTGGAAATTCGGTGCTGCCTGTTGCTTCGAAACACGCAAGTTGATCCATCAAGTGAATCCATCGTCCCTTGCTCCCCAGTCCTTGATAGAAAAGGCCCATACCTCACCCCAGTCACCTCGCCCCGCGCCCCAACAGCCCAGGTGAAGATCGTGGACACCTGCGGGTGACGTTGGGCGAAGCGGGTCGCGGGGTCAGACGCCTTTCGGGATCAAGTGCAGCATAGCTTAGGGCGCTGATCAGCCTCTTTCATGGTGAGCCTCCCCATGAACTGCAGCATGATTCAGTGCAGCATGATAGCAGTGACTCTGATTTGTTTCACTGCAGTTACATGCATAGCAGTTACTTGGGAAGGATGACAGGGACATTCCGAATCTGACAGAAAGTCAGACGTTCTTCCCAAATCCAATGCAGATGTTCTTGGAATCTCCGAGATCCTTCCTTTTGGCCAGGGACAGTCGCAAGATGAAGATTCAACCCTTCAGGTGCGGGACATGCCATGGGTGGCCCTTGCCACCGGACTGGACTCGGGTTCGAAGGGGACCCTGGGGTACTTACTTTCTCACCTGAACTGTGTGTGGCCACATGGCATCACGTGAGCATCTGGCAGCTCAGGAGTACGTAGCAAAAGGGTCTCGACATGTCTGAAATCCTGGTGAAATCCTTCAATATCCTTCACCAAGCTGTGCTGGCTCGGCTGGCTGTGGTATGATTGTCTCTTCAAGCCCAGGTCGGTAGGCCCAGGCGTAGCTCTAAAGTTGTTTGACAACGTTGGAGGGTTTCTTAGTCGACTAAACTACCACAGATTGGGGGTCGATGTTCGACCCCATGGCCGGTCATTGATTTGGCCGACACGGGGTTTTTATCATAAGAAGGCCTTGATTCAGATGGTATTTGCTTGTTAATTGCAGGGATTCATGAGCAATAGGCCCTGCGCAGGGCAGTTGCTGGTCAACAACAGGCGGTCTTCCTGTGTTATGGATAGTGAACCCTCCAATAGACGGCATAAGTCCCCTGTTCGAGAAGTCTTGGGATTTGTTCTGTCTTGATCCCCACAAAACTGCTGTCAACCCACCAAGTGCGCAAGACCCCACGTTCAAGGCGGAGGTCCCTTCCTTCGTCATTGCCTCGTCATCGCAGTCTTTCGGTGGAAACCGGGACAACGTCTCACCGCGAGTCGAGTGCAGGGGAGAGCCAGATTGGAGTTGGTCAGCTTCGGGAAGAGTTCTTATAGAAGTCTGGCTGCGAAAGTTGGTTGCCAGATGAGGAGACAGCCTTCGGACAGAATCTGGGGATCATAGATGAGACTCTCATGCTTGTCAAATACGTTTGTCGAGGCGTCGCCCTGACGTGTGCTACATTGTGCCTGACGGCACTGATGTTCTTCCCAAATCAGGAGCCCCCGCCCACCGCGTCTGTCCACGGTAGATCAGAGCGATGGACCGTCGCCCACATGGACCATCGACATGGCTCAACATGGCTCAATATGGCTCAACTGACACGATCCGAGCTGATAGCCAACGCCACGGCCAACGCCAGACCCGCCGGATGGTCGCGTCAGACCCCGCCCCTCTCGATGTCACTCTTCCTGTCCGCAGACTGCTACCAACCTCTTCGTCTCCTGCTGTCGGGAGCCTCTGGGCTCCGGAAGCGCGGTTGAAAAGGACAGCGGAGGAGATCGGACTCCAGGTGGACACCTTTTTCAAGAGTTGCATGCCACAGCCCGGTAGATCAGGCTGCTAGAAAAGGTGAAAAGAACAGAACGTGCTTTCATTGCATATGTTTTCTTGAGAATCTACAAGTCTACACGTAGTGCAAAAGGATGTTGCAGTTTTCGAGGTTGAGGTGGCTGATGTCGGCTGTGGCCACCCTGACCCGGAACTTTTTCACCCAGTGTGAGTAGAAGTTCACAAATTTTAGTTGAGCTCCCTATGTAAGCAGAGTGATCGGACCATGAACCATCAATAACCATTAGCCGCCCTAGCTTAGCTGTTGTCTAGATGTTCTTGAGGCCGAAACAGTTTGTTTAAAGTCCATCTAGCTTCTCCCTCCTGTCAGGTAGGGCCTCAGGTGACGAGCACGAACCCGGAACACCCGAGCACCAGACCCAATCCGCGCCTCAGTTGGCATCAATGAGGCTGCAGGTGCGAGTCGGGAGTCGGGGATGGGCACCTCGGGGATAGGCATCTGCCGATCATGCCACCTTCAATGAAGTTCATAGTATATAATGGTCCCCCAACTAAATAGATAGATCAAATTAGATCAACCAAACATAACAATCAAACCAATAGATCAACCAGGTTTCCACAATCTCTCTTATCGATGTGGAACAGATCTGTCCTTTCGTTACCGAGGGGAAGCGGTCTCACTGGACTGGAGAGCCGCTTCGCCCTGTAGGACCCTTGGTGAGAGGCCGCTAGGTCGGAGACCGCTATTAACAAGAAGCTACGAACGTAACAAGGGCATTTCGTTCCTAAGAGATTAGGAGCAATAGGAGCAAGAAGCTACTATATAGCTGGAGGCCATCGCGGTCGTAGGTTGGCCGGCCATCGCTATTAGGTTTGGCCGGCCATTGCATCATGGTGATTATATGGCTGGTGATGGGTAGATTGACCGTGATTGACCTCGGTGTAATTTTCTGGCGTCTCCCGATGCCCATGATGTTCGATTTCTATGTTGTGCTATGTTGTGCTACGCACTTGCTGAGCTGCTTGCTCATATAGCTGTGGGTTTTGACAGATCCCTAATCCCTCGTAGTTTGACTTCCCAGGTCCTCAGGTAGGTCAACCAAGCTGTCCTGGTTTGACCAATCCTCATATTTGTGAGTGCTTTTCAACCCATGTAAAACAAGGAAGTGATGGTGTGATTGCCGCTTTGCTTGCATTTCCAGATAAGAACTTTGGGTACTGCTGGGTGAGAAGTGTAGGCGTCATGAACCTAGACAACTTTCATGTGTGTTCAGGAGCCATTCGAAAAGGAGGATGCTCCACCATACAGAAAACGCTGGGTTCCCCTGCGTCAGAGAAGCCGGTCAGTCGGGTGCGCGGGTCCACCAGCAGGTCGCAGGTCGTTCGCAATCGCCCCTGAAGTGACATGTTGCCAGCCAGGATGTCGCTGGAGGCCCTCTATAGTCAAGGTAACCCAAGAACAGTTTCATATTAAGGAGTTTTCATTACATTTGGGAGTCATTGAATTGGGTTTGGGTTTGGCACCATCGGGCAAGAGACTTGTTTTCCACTCAGTCGGCTCATGATTCCACCAGACCCAAATGAAAGGCAATCACTCCTGAATAGGGCGAAAATGCCTTTATTCCTAATTAATGCAGATTGTTTCAATGCTATGATTATGACTATGACTGACATTGATGCGGTAGTTTACATGTCAAGTTCAGTTCAGTTCTGACAAGCATAACACCTAACTCTGCAGTCATAGACGATTGGCTGTTTCCCTTTCACTTTGCCCTACTGAGAGCTGTTGAGGACTTTTTCAAACAATAGGATTTTAAGACACCTCGATGTTGTGTGTTTTGGGAAGGTCTTTGAAGACCTGCTACCGAATGTCTTAGCAGATGGCCACCGAATCGGTGGAGACCGAGCAGGATGACCGCAGCAGTGTTCGCTCAATCTCTCGGCAAGGCGCGTCGCGTCGCGTATGGCGCGCGGTTCACGGTGTTCGCGTCACATGGCGTATGGCGTCACAGGAGTGATCGAGAGTAGACAGGGTCGACACGAACGCCCACGCATTGTCGCCATGTTTGGAACGAGCCATATTTGGTCCAGGTCACTTAACCTCTGTAGGTTGGGTGTGCTTGCTTTCATGTTGGATGGCGATGTCCCTCCCCGACCTGAGCCGAAGCCGGGTGGAGAAGGTGAAGGCTTGAGGATCCGATGATCGAATCTCCGACCCCATAGCTCCACCCGTGATCGGACGAGCCACGATCGGATGGGTGGCTTGGGAGCAAGACGATTCTCCCGGTGCGGAAAGCCAGTGGGGTGAAGTGTCTACACTCCGACTCACTAACATGGAAGTGGAAAACTCACTGTTTGTAGAGGAAAGTAGTCTTCCAAGAGGCCATTTTCCACTCACTTCCATGTGATGTGTTCGTCAGAGTGTAGACACTTCAGGATGCTCCTGACGGTTTGAGGTTGTTCGTTGCTGAAAAGCAGCGGACCCCACTTCGCATCCATCCGAATTCCATCTTCCAGGCAGCACGTCGGGCCGAGCATTGGGCACGGCCATCAGTTGCTCTGCCAAGAGCGTGCGATCCTCAGTTGGGCGCGGGGAATGGTCCGGGACCATGGGACCATGACTTTGCAAACTTGTTGATCCTCTCTTGAAGTAGTTTTACATTACATTCACTCATTCACTGCCCTCAGGTGACTAATGATGCTCGTTCCATTGAGGGCGCACTGGCTTTGAAGAACATGCGCTACGAGACGCGTCCGGCTTCAAAACCCATGGCACGGGCATTCGGGTACTCGTCAATGGGCGTCAACCCACAAAGAGAGATCAAAAGTCCTTGTGCGAAAGAACATTTGTGGCTTCAAACATTGGCATGTACAGTACACATTGTTGGGAAGCAAGAAGGCATGTGAACATGTTTTTTGTCTCTCTCTCTCTCTCTCTCCTGAAGGTAAAGGACTTGAAGGGACCCTCCTGCATACCTTTTGGAAAGATCATCGCAACAGGATAATGGTCCAAACATGTCCAAACTACGAAGTGGCAGGTGAAGAATGCAGAACATCATTTTTTTGGGGGGGAGGGGGAGTGCAAAACAGGGAAGGGCTATTTCCAGTGCTATGTCCCTTTTTGGTGCAAGCCAATAATCAAGATTAAGTAGAACATCAGTGCTTGCTACACCAGTCAGGTTGCGGGTCTTCTCAATAATTACCCGCAGGCTCATCCCAAAATGTTCAGGTCAAATGTTCTCCTCATCAGTGACCAGAAGGCGCGCCCGAATCCCCGGGCGCGCAGAGCTGCGCGCGCCGTCCTTTGCGCCGCCCGATTGCAGGCCCTGTCAAATACTGGCAGCGGTGCCAGGACGGAGCGAACTTCCGACGTGGACCGGTCGTGAATCGATTGCAGTTTTCCGGAAAACCTGGAGCTTCCAGCACATGAAGACCTGGAATCGGCATTGGAGGAATGTTGATCTGGTTGGTTGGATGAGTTCCAAGTTGGAGGACGTGAAATGAATGTAACGAGACGTTTGTACAGGAGATACTGCCGCCACTGGCAGAACCGACAGCCTTCCATGGCTTGCAAGACAAGTTCTACAACAGCCAGAGATGTATCATCCCAACGGGAAACGAAATCATGTGAGGTCAATCGGAGAAGCATTTGCGGCTCAGACCGTTTGTTGCTGCAGGGGTTTGAAGACGTAGAAGCAGTCTTTCTTGCTGCCCCTTATCAACGGGCTAATATGCGGCTTCTTTGTGTTTGTTTCGTAGAAAGTGTTCCTTTTCCGGAAAGGTGATTGGGTCTTGCTTGCTTATCCAACAGTTAACAGTTACTGATGTGGTCAAAAGATGTCAAAAGTGTTGAAGGGAACAGGTAGACGAGCTTTATGTCATCTCAAGTGGTTGTGCCAGCCTACCTCTTCACAGTGCTTCTGGTGCTTCTGTGCAGATGGAGACTGGTGGATGGAGACCAGGACCCCCACTTGCAGATCAGAGGTTTTGGCACTCCCAGCCTTTGACACAGTGATTTCGGGAGGTCCAAAATCTATCCACCTTCAATTGAGAACCAGGTCGACCTGTCCCGCAGTGCAGCTCGTTTTTCTCGCGCAGCTGGTCAGGAATCTTTGAGGACGCGTTTTGTGCCCAGCGGTGTTGACAGATGGTGGTCAAAACCGAGTACTTGAACCTCCTAAGCTGGATGAGAAAGGGGCAAGAAAATCCGTCTGTTGTTCATCATGTGTAAATCTTGGCCGAAGGATGCCGAAGGATGCCGAAGGCTCGAACTACAAGGCCAAGTGGCCGATGAACCAGATCGATTTGGGTCTGTCCACCCATGGCTGCGTCCGCCATGGGGCCCCCCAGGGGTGGTTCGCACGAAGTCTCCACCATCCCTCAACCTGCGGGTTCAGAGATGAGGGACGTGCATCGGTGCTTTAAAGCTCATCGAAAGCAAGACCCGGGTTCGTTCGATCCTGATGTTTCCTGAAACAAAGTATTCTCGATCTTCTCGTATCGGAACTTCAAAGCTGTACAAGAAGCAAGTGAAGCAAGTCTACAGCTTCAGGTTAGTATCATATTTGATGTGGGTTTTGGATGCATTTTGACACCTGCATGGTGAAAAGCTTGGTCGACTGCCTCATCTTCTTGGATACCTGGCGACTCGGTACCCTCGGTACCTTCCGCCTGGCGACTCGGGTCCGACACGAGTACGTCGACCGTTGCTTTGCTGTTCAATGTGCCAGCCCTTCCAGCTCAAAGATTGTGCAGATCAACAAAATCAACTCCAAACCAAGAACATCCACGATCGTGTATTGGTTTGTTTCGTTGATATCGTGTATTTAGTGGTCTCCGATTTTTTGGGGGAGGGCGGGAGGTGCTCGGTACTCGGGATTAGGCTTAAGCATCATCAAGCGGAACCAGCATCACAGTCACATGCACGCTGTTGCACTCCCAACTCTTCAAGCCCTCCCAACTCTTCAAGCCCTTCACAACCTCACCCAACAGACCCAACAAACTGACCAAACCTCCTCCAAACCACCACCACCGCCATTCTCGGTTCTTTGGCCTTGACGTCGCCATTTGGCATGTGGCATGTGGTGGGTGGACAGAAGAGCGGCGGCTTGCTCGTACGCTCGGGAAGTTCCTTGACGTCGCCGGCCTATGAAAAGCGCTTGCAGGTGGACGGACTGGTTGGTGGTTTGTTGGGCGGGGGGAGAATATATGAAAAGATATGAACAGATACAATTTGACCTTATTTTTGTGATGTTGATTCTTGACCACATAAGTTGTGCTATCTTCAAATTGGATGTTCCTCAGTTTGAAGCCTGACCTGGCCTTAGAAGGAGGTCTGTGGAATGAGCATTGTCCTCGAGCAACAGGAGGTTAGTTCTTTTTTGTGCATTTCCTTCGTGACGTCAAATGAACAAGTGACGACTCACCCTTCAAGCATGGAATAATTGGGCAGTTCTAGTTCTCAGCATGAGAATTTATGTATCGTGTAGACCGCCAAGAGTTTGGAGATCCATAGCAGTCGCCCGGGCCAGCCCGGGGGAGCGTTTTGGAGTTTGTACAAGGGTTTTGAGGCTCGTGATCGCATATGTTCAGGGTGTTCTAAACAGCAAAACTATTGCATAGTATAATTAATTGTATAAGTAGTAGTTCACCCCCAAGTTGCGCAGTCTGGAAGTATCATCACGTTGCAAGTCCCAGAGTTTCCAAGCACATTCACACGCACGTTTGAGCTATTTGGCAATGGTTTATTAATCTTATTACCAATTCCGAGGATGTAGGAATTTGTCCCAATTGCATTAAATGTAGGAGCCTATATATACAGAGGCTATGCGGGGGCTTTGCTATAGACCAACTATAGCAAGCGTGCGACAAAAACGTGCGACAAAAACAACGTTTGCAAGATGCATCACAGGGTTTTGCCTTCCAAAAACACGTTCTCTTCAACAACATGTGTTCCTTGAAGGCCTGTTTGGTATAGGAGAAACTCGAATTCAGACCTTAGGCTGCCCTGCTCCAATGCAAGCTGCAGGGTCAAACATAGTTGCTGTTCGCCGTGGGGTTGGATGCTTGGGCATCCCAACACCAGCACCCCAGCACCAAACAACATCATATTGCGTGGCCATTGGGAAAGAACCCTGATGAGTATGAGTAGTCCATGTTGCTGTCTTCCAAGCAGTCCAACATCTTAAAACCATGTACTGTAAATGTACAGGCGTGGGCTCCCAGTCCCAGTCACACTCGAAACATAGAGAGTTGTGCTGATGTGATGTACTCACCCATGCTTTCCATGTGACTTTACCCCTCCACGCGGCGACGTCTCATGCCATGATGCTACCTTCACCACCCACTGATGTGACAGAACCCGACTCCTCCGTGTACCAAGAAGGAAAGGGGGGATCACCACAGGTGCACGAGTTGATCACCATCAGGCTATCAGGTGTTCTTTTTTAAACGCCCAATCCGTGTGAGAAAAGCTCCAAAACGGTACAAGGCAGGCGCGTTGCTGCGAGAGCTGGCTCTTGGCTCTAACCGGCTGCACTATGAGTTGCTGGAGGGAGAAGGTCCGCCCAGAGGCAGCGTGGCTGATGTGCAAGCGATACACGAGACCCTGAACCATGCGACAGGAGTTCTTCTTTCGACTGGAAATACGATGCTTCCAGTTCTTCAACACCAGATGGTCTACAGGTAAAATCAGTGGAAAAGCAGCTTCTGAACTGGGTTCCTCTCCTCGTTGTCGGGCGCCGAGAAAATTGCTCTCCCCCTTTCAGAACTGGGTGCTCCCTCGCTGGTGAAGGTCTAACAACTTTTCAGGCTTCACGAAACCGGTCAAAGCGGTTTTCAAGTGGGACCTGGAGACCACTCGAAAGGTCGTACAGATCTGGTATGCATGGCACAAGGGCCCCCAAGGTCGGTTGGACCTTATTTGGACATCGAAGTCCGGTCGCCATCGAAGGTTTGGAACTGATGTGCCATCTACGTGTTTCTGATAGGGCGGGCCGAATCAGAACTGTTCTGTGGATTCCTCCAATCGTGGAGATTTCTTTCACATTCATTCCCCGTAAAAGGATCAGAGGTGTGGTAAGGCTGGAAGAAAGAACAAAATCATCTGGCAAACTGAGCTCTCGTCTATATGTATTTGTGTTTGTCTCCCAGTGCATCAAGTCATGCTTTCAAAGACAAACTCATGTGTCACCAGGCATATCATGGTTTCTCATTGCGCGCATTCTTTGGCTTCAAATTGTTCTTTAAGCATGGCAGTGAGGCTGTGCATCCATGCCATCCTGGCCAGTCGACCTCGCGTTGACTGTCACCCGATGTTCCAACGACCTCGACCTCAACCACTATAGTGAGTTTCATATCGGTGTGGTCACGCACTTGTTTCTACTAGCTTCTTGTTCCTAAGTAGTAAGGCCAGGAGCCCCTAGTAGCGTCCTTGCTCCGTAGCGATGCCGGAGCCCCTAGTAGCGAACATTGCTCCTAGTGAGTTTCATGTCGGAGTGGTCACGTGTGCAGTTTATGCCACCATTTGCGATGTGTTTCTGGTTTTCATCCTTGCTCGGTTTCGGTTGGGTGTGCAGCAGTTTGCGCGGTCCATGAAGCACCTGCTACATGGACCTCGGGACCTCGCCATTTCCATGCCAATTCACGATGTGTTTCACCGCCAAGGCTGGGTGACGTTGCGTTTGCACGGCCTCGAGTTGGTGACACGCCAGGTGCGCGATCCGATCGACGCGCGAGGTTTTAGTGGGTCCATCGATGGCTGTTGCGCGGGAAATCGATATGACCGCCTGCAAGGTGAGTGCAAATTTAGTGCAAATTTAGGCAAAGTACAAATTGAACAAATGACACATCGTTTGCTGAGTTGGATTTGGACCAGGTGGTTGCAAATGTGTTTTTCTTGTTTTTGAAAGATGAGATACTGTGCAGGAGTCATCAGAAGTGGTTCGACTGGGGGAAACAATAAATCCTGTTCAATTATGGTGGTCCTCTGCTTTTCAATTCTATATATAGTACATCAAGACTGATTTGGTTGGGATTGAAACTGCCTATTGTGACAGCATCAGACTGCCTGTTGTGGCAGCATCAACTACAAAAGATCACATGCACGCTACAAGACACCAGGGTATGTAAGATAAATGTAAAATGAATGTCGTTTTGTGAAACTCAACTAGTTTCTGTCGCTTGATGTAGTTTAAAATAGTTGTTTTCTTTAAACAAAAAGACAGAACTGCCGCTTCGGTTTGCCTGCCACTTTGGACCTTCAGTAGTGCAACAAAGAATTGTGCAACCAAAGACCTTGCGCCGCTTTGGTGCTGTTTTGGGAGGTTGGGTGCCGTCTTGCACCGTTTCGTTTCTTGTGTTTCTTTTGGGTGAAGTGTCACTGCTGTTGGTCATCTCCCCCACTCTATCCAAAAAATCAAAAAGTGCTGCACTACAGAAATGTCCGCTGCCTGCCCCAAGAACTGTGTTTTGTTATGTTTTGTTTGAAACAACCGATAGAAGATACATACAAAGGGAGATGTAGGTATATAAATGTAAACAACTGTGTGAAGATTGTAAATTGATTGCACTACATATTTTTGGTACTTGACTGTTTAAAAAAATAGAAACAGCAATTGGGCCCTTTTTCCTTGGACTGGAGCTCTTGCTTAGGCTTTTCAAGCCTCTCGGTTTCCCAACTTAGATTGGAGGCCATCGCTCTTAGGTTGGAGGCCATCGCTCTTAGGTTGGAGGCCATCGCTATTAGGTTGGAGACCATTGCAACCATTAGGTTGGAGGCCATCGCTCTTAGGTTGGATGCCATCGCTATTAGGTTGGAGGCCATTGCTATTAGGTTGGAGGCCATTGCTATTAGGTTGGAGGCCATTGCTATTTGGTTGGAGGCCATTGCCATTAGGTTGGAGGCCCTTGTTATTAGGTTGGAGGCCATTGTTATTAGGTTGGAGGCCATCGCTATTAGGTTGGAGGCCGGCCATTGCTCTTAGGTTGGAGGCCATCGCTCTTAGGTTGGAAGCCATCGCTATTGGGTTGGAGGCCAGTGCTCTTAGGTTGGAGGCCATCGCTCTTAGGTTGGAGGCCATTGCTCTTAGGTTGGGGGCCATCGCTCTTAGGTTGGAGGCCATTGCTCTTAGGTTGGAGGCCATTGCTCTTAGGTTTGAGGCCATTGCTATTAGGTTGGAGGCCATGGCTATTAGGTTGGAGGCCATTGCTCTTAGGTTGGAGGGTATCGCTCTGAGGTTGGAGGGTATCGCTCTTAGATTGGAGGCCATCGCTCTTAGGTTGGAGGCCATCGCTATTAAGTCGGAGGCTATCGCTATTAGGTTGGAGGCCATTGCTATTAGGTTGGAGGCCACTGCTATTGTGTTGGAGGCCACTGCTAATAGTTTGGAGGCCATTGCTCTTAGGTTGGAGGCCATCGTTCTTAAGTTGGAGGCCACTGCTACTGTTGTTTGACAAAGTCGTGCCCCCAAAGCAGGTTTTATCAGACATGGTTGCGGGAGAGGATGTTGCAGAAGTCGTTCCTTTTTAGAAAACACAAGGGAATGCGTTTGATGGACTGTATTCATAGTTTTTCTTTGCTTTTGCATTGAATGTTGTGTTCAGCTTGGGAAAGAGGATGTTGGCAAGATGCATTGTTTCATGTTGAAGTGTTTCAAATCTTGCGTTTAGCTTGGGGAGTGGTTACCCTCATCGTGACAAACCTGGGTGCTCCGACTTGCAAGTCGGCATTCCTGCACCCAGACACAGACACTAGCAAGAGGCAGGCCTTGTGTTTATGGCTGCAGTGGGAAACTTCTATGTAGTTGCGATGACGCGCTTCAATGACTCTGGCTGTGCATGGACGGGTTAGAAGACAGCAGTTTCATGTCCAGGGACACTCAGGGCAAAGCAGGGGACCCATGATGTACAGAATCAGATGCCATGATGCAAGTTGTTTCCTTCTTTTTTGCTTTCTTTCTTTGGCACGGCGTCGACGCCTCGCAAGCGGCTGTGCTTGGAAGCTTCTCCTTTGTCATCTCAGAAGGCTGCTCCTACTAATCAGGGCAGTCATGGAATCATTTTGGAAGACCTTGACCCAACTTCTTTCCATAGACGCTGTCAATTAGACTACAGTGAGAAGTGGGGCTGTGGAAGTGGCTCTAGCTAGAAGAGTGTTATTTTGCTTCTGCTAGCACTCTGAATGGTTTGATGTTGGCAGGTGTCGTTCTGATAGCACTGTGTGTCTGAGCAGGTCCCACGTCTATAGCTGCAAGAGAAAGCAGAAGCTCCAGATGCTTGCCAGCTGAAGCGCTGTGGGTTTGAAGCCTCCTTTATCATCATTTACTTTGTGCAAATTTGTGTCATCCAACCGTTTGATTTCAATGTTTTGTTTTGGAAAGATGTGGGGCATTCAAAAAGTGATACATTCAATGTTCGAAATGAATCTTGCATTGAGGAAATGCCTCAAGAACAGCTGGCCCAATACCTTCGGGAGAAACATGCTGATGTGTTCTCTCGATTGGACAAGTTGTCTTGGGAAGCCAAGCAAGTTGATGAGCATGATGAGAAGCTCAAGCATGTCATGAGCAAAGGCCAAAGGCCTGTGGAGTCGACTGAGTGCGCGGTCTGTGGTGCGCGAAAGCATACTCACAAGTGGTTGTACAGGGCTGGCAAGAAAGGACTTCGGCGCTGCAATGGCAGCACTTGTGCAGCTTGCTACCGTTCGGCCATTCTCCTAGGTGTTTCACGCTCCAAAGCTTTGATTGAGAATAGCGGGGCCATTTCTATTTTCAAGGTGCTGAGCAGTCGTGTTCGCCGTAACTTTGGCGATGAGGATGTTTGTGAGTGTGCTGAATGCAAGCCAAAGACGTAGTTCTCAAGGGTTTCTTGTGTCTAAGTGTGAGCACTTGCCGACACTGCTTATGGGGAAAATGCTTCTGCAGAACGGCTTGGAAGCGTGTTTTTTCAACCAGATCCAACATACAAGGGTCACCGCATCACATGGAGGTTTGCCATATGGGTCTACATACCACACAGGCCCTGGCAGAGTGGCGCATGTCTTTTATCATCTCCACGCTTTTCACAGAACATCTTCCTTGTTTCACATCCAAACTTGATCCACATTTGCTTTCCCGGTCAGAGAGTGTCCTGAGAAGATCTCATGCAAGTTGCGCTCGCCCCGCTGCCTTTTCCACGTTTGTAGTGGTTTGTGGGAATGCCGCCAAAAGAGTTTCTTTCTTCCGCGAAAGTCGCGCGGCTATCCTACTCCAATTTGATTTGCGCCTTAGATGCTTGGGGAGTAGAATACAGCTCTAGCGACAGGGAGCTGGCACTCAGGGCAAAGCTTGATGAAGCCATAGCAGCTGCAATAGAGAAGAAGAAAGGGAAGCACTGTGGGGGTGCTTCTGGTGAGACTGCTCCGAGCAAGGCAGCTGAGCCTCCTAGTATCCTGGTAGGAGAGAACAATGGTTTTTACAACAAGTTATGCGGGAGTCACTCTAAGTCCTTGCATAGAGACAGGCTTTAGAATGGACATGTCAGAAAGATAGGCGCACTGCCACTACTACTACTACTACTACTACTACTACTACTACTACTACTACTACTTCTACTGTTGATGTTGTAACATGGATGGGCAGTGCCTCACCTTGATGAAAGTCGGACCTCGTTCGGACCTCGTTTGGACCTCGGTGGGACCTCGTTCCCGCTCCCACTTTTTCCAACCAAAAAGCTGTATTACCTTGAATTTTGTTGAAAACAAAGGGCTTCTCTAGCAGCTGCACCTAGGCCAAGCACCTGCTAGTGGCGCTTCGTCTGGAGCTTCAGAATCTGCTGCGCCTGTGGACGCATCCGCTGTCATTGGCGATCCTCCTTTACCACCTCCATCTACTCCACCGCCTCTCGAGCTTCTTCAGAGATTAGCTGCGGCAGCTGAGTCACATGAGCGACCCAAGACATGCGTGCCTAGGCATGACATGGACCCAGAAGATCAAACCGTTTCTTTGCCTTCCTCATCAGCAGAAACCCTAAGGTAGATTGCAAGAAGGAGATTTCTGGCCAGAACCGGTCAGCTCTACCTACCTACTGCTGCGCTTGCTTTGCGGCTGAGAAAGCTTTGCATGCATGCCCATCGCGAGTTGTCGGAGAGTCGCTTTGCGTTTTGTGTGCGGTGGAGATCTCGAGTGACAACAAGTCACCTGTGCCTAAATGTTGTTTCGAGTGCTACGAACAGCAAAGCGCAGTCGAAGACGCCCTTACGGCTGAGCAAATGGACCCCCAGGCTGACGACGCCAAATTTGCGGAGACCAAGACTCCACCGCCCGCCTTTGAAAAAGACACGCCTGCCAGCGAGAAAGAACTTTTGACAGAAGTTGCGTGCCCTGAGCTTGGCTGGGCCAAGCGCAAGCGGGAAAGTGAGATGTCGTGGTATGCCCGCATACAGGCATTTCGGCACGGCAGTGAGAAGAAAAAGCAGAAGTTCTACCATGAGCAGTGGAGCGGATTCGATCAGAAGCACAGCCAAATTGTTTCCAGAACAACCAGTGTTTGCTCCAAAGCAGACAAACGCAAAGGCTGCAGGTTCTAAACAGGGCCTTGTTGCGTGGCGGCAGGTGCAAGACGATGGACGCTCTGTGGACTCTGTGGTGCATCTCCCTTGGGGATACACGATTTGTGCTTTGACAAAGGATTTCCAGGAGTATGCTGCAAACCCAGTGGCGCGTGACCAAAAGAGATGGGAAATGTATGCCTTGATCTTCCTCTTCATGTCCTCAGGCGATCCGCCTTTTCACAACGCAGCGCAAGCTGTCCAAGCCCTTCCAGAACTTCGCTTGAACAAACACTATTTGGGCAAGCTGAAGAAGTTGTTCGGGGATTCCAAGTTACCTTGGGAATGTCCTGCAGAGTTTCGTGTTGGTCGGACACCTCGCGCAAGTTTGTCTCAGGCTGAGCTGGAGGATGTGCTGTTGTTTTGTGAAGTGGAGCCAGCGAACTGGCTGCCCCTTGACCATCCAACAGGTCGAAGACGCGATTACCCTGATGAAGCTGGAGAAGCGCCTTGCATCATCAATATGTTTGTAGGGTTTTGCGTTACAGTATCAGCCATTTTTAACGATGGGTGACGTGTGTGTTTTTTTGGCCATAGTCTTCTCCCTCAAGCTGCCAGGTGCGGCGAGATTGACGATGATCTGGAAATAGATGAGTTGCTCTCACTTGTGGCCCAGAAGCGCTCCAAATACAAACATATTTGGCGGGACTTTAAACTGTGGGTTGCTAAGACCCAGGCCCCGCCTGACCAGATTGGCCTGGAGAAGGTTCGCACTAAAACGACTCATGAAATTGCAGCCTGCCAGCCTGATACTGTGTCAAACGCATTCGATGTTCTCGAAGAGATGATGACAAGGCTGGGCCTGATGAAAGACGGTGTAATTCTTCAGACCGTATCCTGATCTGCGACGAGAAGGGCTTCAGCTCTCGTTCGGACAGCCTCACGAGACGTGTCACTACACATGCAGATCGTAGCAAAACAGCAACTGCCGCTGCTGTCACTACGTTTGAACATATAACTGTCTGCACTTAGATGGCGATGGCTGGAGAACCCTTTCCACCAGGGGTTGTTGTGCCCTTCAAGAGCTTGCACCCGAGCATGCAAGAGATTTGGGAAGCTCGAGCTGTGAAAGTGCTTTTTTGGTTTGTAGGGAACAGATAGGCAGTGGAGCCAAACGCAGACAGATTTGGGGCAGATAGATCTTACCAGGTCCTTTGCCGCAACTGAGGACAATGCAAAATTCCATTGCCACCCAAGTGGCAGCATCACGCCTTCCATCTTTGCATCCATGCTGGAAGAATGCTGCTTGAAGCCGCTTCGCTCCAGACACCCAGACAAAAAAGATAAATCTTTGCTAGTGATGGACACAGGGGGGGACGCTGCCTCACGTCACCTTGGGCGTCATTTTGCTGGCATCAAGGTATGAGGTGGACATTTATGTCTTACCCACATATACGACAAAGGCACTATGCCCTTTGGCGTCCAGATGGGCAGCCTTTAAATCTCACTGGATTCAGGGCGGGAAGGACTTGACAATCTTTCAGCCTGGCAGCAATCAAGCCACAGAGATTTTCTCGTCCCAGAAAGCAGGCCCTGGAAACATTGGTCAGCAGCAAACAGCGACCTCCAATGTCCTTGGGGTGCTCCAGAGCGTCAGCCCCTCCAAGGTGCGCTGCAGCAATGAGGATTGCAAACAGAAAGTCACAGTTGCCGACCGCTTCTGCTCTCTTTGCGGCGCTCCCAACTCCAAGTTCGCTCGGCGACGGTCAGGGTGGCAGCCAGAAACCAGCTGAGCAGGACTTGGCAAAAGGCATCGGAGATCTGTTGGCAAGAATCAGAAGATCTTCCACAGCCTCGGATGAGAAAAGAAGGAGCTTCCACCCAAGCAATCGGGAGAACCCATGGCAGAAGTGGAGGAGCCCAAAGGCAAGAAACAAAAGACGTCAGTTGCGGCCGAACCTGCTGGTGCAACGCTGCAGCCTGAAGAGTGGGACCTTGACCGGGAAGAAGACTGCGCTGACTGGATTTGTCAAATCTGGAAAGAAGACAAGCGGCCACAGATTCGACCTTTGGCAGTTTCAAGAATTGAAAAAGAAGAGCGCCAAAGGCGAGAAGCTCAGTGAGACATTTTACAAGACAGTGATTGGACCCAAATTACTTTGTACCTCGAAGAGGCGAGAAGACTGGGTCGCAACTCAGAAGCACAACCGCTCATTGCGGTATGTGCCGCACCCCAGCTCTGTGTGGAGCAAATAGCTCTCGCAGGAAAAATCTGCTGTGAGCGCGGCGTTCACAGTGTGGGAAGTGGGTACGGGCGAGGTTTTCTGTCGGTTGAACACATGGTAAACACATTGGAAACGCAATTTTCCTGCTGATGACTGCACTTTATTCTTCTGTTTTGCGTTGCGTTTACATTGGGACCTACTAATCGGGCATGACTTAGGTATGACTTTTTGAGTGCAGAGTTTACATGGGGAAGGAGGAAGCGGGCATGACTTTTTCATGACTTTGTCGTCCTGCTGTATAAGGTTGAGGCTATCGCTATTAGGTTGGAGGCCATTGCTATTAGGTTGGAGGCCATTGCTATTAGGTTGGAGGCCACTGCTATTAGGTTGAGGCCATTGTTATTAGGTTGGAGGCCATTGCTATTAGGTTGGAGGCCATTGCTATTTGGTCTGAAGTATTAGGTTGGCGTTCACTCCTCTTAGGTTGGAGGCCATTGCTCTTAGGTTGGAGGCCATCGCTCTTAGGTTGGAGGCCATCCCCATTAGGTTGGAGGCTATTGCTATTAGGTTGGAGGCCATTGCTAATAGGTTGGAGGCCACTGCTATTAGGTTGGAGGCCATTGCTATTAGGTTGGAGGCCATTTCTAGTAGGTTGGAGGCCATCGCTATTAGGTTGGAGGCGATGGCAATTAGGTTGGAAGCGACGGCAATTAGGTTGGAGGCCATTGCAATTAGGTTGGAGGCCATTGCTGTTAGATTGGAGGCCATTGCAATTAGTTTAGAGGCCATTGCTGTTAGGTTGGAGGCCATTGCTATTAGGTTGGAGGCCATTGCTATTAGGTTGGCGGCCACCTCTATGAGGTTAAAGGGCATTGCTATTAGGTTGGAGGCCATTGCTACAAGGTTGGAAGCCATTGCTATTAGGTTGGAGGCCATTGCTATTAGGTTGGAGGCCATTGCTATTAGGTTGGAGGCGATTGCTGTTAGATTGGAGGCCATTGCAATTAGTTTAGAGGCCATTGCTATTAGGTTGGAGGCCAGTGCTATTAGGTTGGAGGCCATTGCTATTAGGTTGGAGGCCATCGCTATTAGGTTGAAGGCCATTGCTATTAGGTTGGCCATTGCTATTAGGTTGGAGGCCTTTGCTATTAGGTTGCATTGCTATTAATTTGGAGACCATTGCTATTAGGTTGGAGGCCATTGCTATTAGGTTGGCCATTGCTATTAGGTTGGAATTAGGTTGGAGACCATAGCTATCAGGTTGGAGGCCATTGCTATTAGGTTGGAGGCCATCGCTCTTAGGTTGGAGGCCATCGCTATTGGGTTGGAGGCCAGTGCTCTTAGGTTGGAGGCCATCGCTCTTAGGTTGGAGGCCATTGCTCTTAGGTTGGGAGCCATCGCTCTTAGGTTGGAGGCCATTGCTAGTAGGTTGGAGACCATTGCTATTTGGTTGGAGGCCATTGCTATTAGGTTGGAGGCCATTGCTATTAGGTTGGAGGCCATTGCTATTAGGTTGGTGGCCATTGCTATTAGGTTAGAGGCCATTGCTATTAGGTTAGAGGCAATTTCTATTGGGTCGGAGGCCGCCATTGCTATTAGGTTGGAGGCCATTGCTAAAAGGTTGGAAGCCATTGCTATTAGGTTGGAGGCCATTGTTTTTTGGTTAGTTGGAGGCCATTGCTATTAGGTAGGAGGCCATTGCTGTTAGGTTGGAGGCCATTGCTATTAGGTTGGAGGCCATTGGTATTAGGTTGGAGGCCATTGCTATTAGGCTCTTTTCCCATTGTCCCTACACTTGGCTCGGCTCGAGGAGAGTGGTGCTGAGAGACCTGAACGGCAGGGAGCGTTGGGACGGCCAACGGTCGGTCGGTCTGGGTGTTCGGTCGGAGCTGGTCTGGGTGGCAGGGACCGTTTTCGGGTGCAATTGGCCTCCCAGGTGCGCAACATAACATGAAGGCCAGAAGCCCCTAGTAGCGTCCTTTGCTCCTAGTAGTAAGGCCAGGAGCCCCTGGAGCCCCTAGTTTTGTGTTTATTTTTTTGACATTTGCCTGTGAAAACATCTCATTTTGGACACCATCATGGCAAAACAGCTAAACCCAAACCCGGGTGCAGCACTGTCCTTTCCTGTTTGATTTCCTTTCGACAGGACCTGACCACTGACCGTTGATTTGTTGATTTGCGGCCGGTAGCCATCCATTCCCGGAACTGAAGCATATCCAAATCCAAGTCGGTTCGTAGGTCCAACAGTCCGATCGGCTGTCAGATTTCGAGGTGTTTTTCTTGATGTTTTTTTTGTTTATAACTTCCCTTTGCTTGCCAGAGGCCAGAGTGGACTGAGTGGACATGGTATTAGTATGATTTAATATGTATTAAATTGTATAAATGTTTGGTTTTCTTTGCTAGCTGAGAAGAAATCTAGCCACAGGTATTGGATCGGAGAGCCAAGGTTCATCAAATTAAACAAACAGATATATACACACATACGCATCACATATACATATCACTCAAATTAAAAGTAAAGGGGGTGAGCAGAAACAGCACGGCAAGCCTCCCATTCAAAATCTAGACGAATCTAACACCAAGAATAGTAACAAGAAACTACTAGTCACAAATCGTAGCACGGGCATCGAAACATCAGGAAAACAAGTCCTCACTCATCCTCACTTACAGTTTTAACGTCCTTGAGGAATCTTTGGGTAGGGGTGGGGATGCCAAGTAGATTGGGGCTGTCACACTCTTCGGTCATGTTCACTCTATGATGTTATTGAACTAGATATCCGTTACAGTCACAAGGCGGCAGGATGATACAACCAAATGATTATTGCATTAAAGCCCTTGGCAATTCTCGGGGTTCAAACTTCTATCACTGCAGGGGATTTCAGCATAGATGCGCCACTCACTCCACGGCTAAGGATTTCCAAAGGCGCCTCAGCAGCAGTCGGTGTCTAGTAAAACCAACGCATACTGTCACAGAGAGCCTAGGCAATATGTCTATGAATGACTACACCAGATCTTGACCGGTGTTTTCTGGGGAACAAAGAACCTCCTGTGTGTGACAATTTGGATGGTCAAGATCCGTCCAACAATATTACGCATGTGGTTAGCCCACATCATGTGCGATTTCAGGGGGATGGAGCCTATATAAATATACTCTCATGGTTTGTTGGCGCGCTGAAAGAAGGCTACCGGCCGCAATGGTCCTTCGATGTCGCATGTGCTGACTTTTGCTTCAGTGACAAGTCCAACGGCCTCTTTTTCCCGCCTGGCCATGGTTTTACATGGAGTTCCCTCTTTTTTCCAGCTTGTTGACTCAGGATTTCGACCCACAAAGCTGGACACACCCTTCAGCCCTCCTTCCCTTCACTCTGAATCCAATGTTCAGCGGATTTGCCACGCAAGGCTGTCTCTTTGGAGGTTGGGTACTCTTCAAACCATTTGTTTGGATTCTTGTTGGATTGCGAGACCCCTGAAACCGCATTCATTCCCTGCAACCTCATACAGTCTCTAGAACTCCCGGCTCAATTCCCCAAGACGATGTTTGGCCAACCCCCCAAAAAGAACACCGGAATTGAGCCGTTTGAGTCTAAAAGTATACAGACCTCCAGAGTACTGTAGATAGTTCGTAGCAAATGCACTGGAAACATGCCAGAAACCATCGCCACCGTCCTATCTATCTATTGGGGGATCACGACAAGTAGATATATCCGTGCCAGTTCGTCCCTTCGATCGCTGCCGTCACCGGACTGGTCGTCCGATGCCTCAGGATCGAACTCGGCTGGCGCTCAAACCGCTCGACCGGTGACCGGTGGGCCAGTGACCCGACCCTTCAAGTCGCGTCAGTCACTGGTGGTCACAAACACACACGAAAACAACAACTAGTCGAAATGGACCTGGATCGAACCAGGAGTCAGACGGTTTTCCTCTACAAACTGGTGCTTTTCAGGGTCCATGTGAGCTAGTTTTCCATGGGGTAAGCTTAAACAAAAAGAGGCAATTGTGTTTTTGTGTCTTCAAGACTCATTCTTGTGTGATTGCCATCGTATATAAGGGCTCTATATGGCTCTTCTTTTTCCCCAAACAGTTTTTACTGTTGGGGTTCTCGCTTAGGGATAAAGATACTGGGCCGCAGTCTTTGGCCATGTCCTCCTGTTGTCCTCTTCTTGTCCTCCTGCTGTCCTCTGGGCGCGCTGGCGAACCCTGTGTCCTCTTGTTCCCAAGGCAGTTTACCCCAAGGCAGTTTACTTTGTCCGACTGTCCAGTCCAGGCTTTGTCCGGGTCTGTGTGTCCTGCTTGACCGCGGACCAGGGGCCGCGAGCGTCTTGTGAGGGCTTTTTAACAGTGACGCAGCGGTGATGCAGCGTTGATATCATCTTCGGATCTTCTCATGATATTGCACTTGTGACCCGGGCATCAGGAACATATCAGGAGCTTTTGTGTGTTCAAACAATTTGTTTGTTTATATTTGTTTGTTTGTTTGGGGTCTATGCTGACATGATGGTTTAGTTTGATTAAAACTTTTATAGCTATTGGTTTTTGTCCGAGTGGAATGTGGGAAGGGGCATTCATCGCTGAGTGTTTGTCCCTGTGAAACAATGGGAGATTCCGCAGGTTTCACATGGTTTGTGGAGTAATCCCCTCTCCCTAATAATAAACGGCCCCCCCCCCCTATTAATAAAAACCCTGGGGTGTTTTTACTAATAGGGGGTGTTTATTATTGAGGGGCACCTGTTGTACCCCCAAATGGGCAATGTTCTGTTCGCCCTAATAAAAAGTAGGGTCTCGAAAGAAAATCCCTGTGGTTCCCAATCTCATTAATTATATAAAATCCTTGTTAAAACGACCAGCAAAAAAACAACAAAGGGTCAAATCCCCTGCTTACTATTAGGGGGCCACAAAACAGCCAGAATTGATATTGGA